GAGAGAGAGAGAGAAAGAGAGAGAGGAAAGGTGGGGGTGAGATCCTGCGCGGCGTGTGCAGAGAAAACAAGCGAACCTTACTGTGGATGTGGGGAAAAATGGGGATTCCCAGCCTACTCGGGGGTCCTACACATCCCCTGAAATCTGGCCGGTACCGCGCATCCCGGCTTCCTGGGGGGAGATCCCAAGTCGCCGAAGGACAGCCCTTGACGACCCAAAGGAGCCCCCAGAACGTAAAGAACGGCCCAACGCGCTCCTGCGCTGCCCGCGACACCCTTCCGACGGCTCTCCAGGCCTCCAGGAGGCCTCCAGATCCCCCAGGGGGTCCGGAAGATCCCACACCCCTGGGGGGCCCGGCTAACAAAACCCGCGAGGCACAAACAAAAAACAGCGCCGAACAGCACCGAGGAACTGGAAAAACATGGAAATTCCAGACTCTTTGTTTTTTTGTTCAAGTTTGGCCCCCGGTCTACTCTTTCACAACAGACCACAATTCAGACCCCCCTCACCTCCCAAGAAAAAAAACCCAGGAAGCCTTTGAGGGCCCCAAGTCGTTGAATACCTAAAGGGAATTAACGCTTTCTGCGTTTCCGCGTTTCCCCTTCTATACGACTCCGAGGCTTGCGCATGGCCTCCAAGGGAGTCCCTGGACGCAAGAAGCGACCAACATGAGATGACATGAGTTAGCCTATCAAACTTAGCTAGATCTTGAGCGCGCGCGAAACGCGCGCGATTTTTCTGGTATGTATATATATATATATATATATATATATATATATATATATATATATATATATATATATATATATATATATATGCATTTATAGATATACATATCGGAGTAGGCCGGGAGAGGGCTCAGAACTGCGACCTCTGGTTCGCATGGGGGGCCAGGGGGGTCTTGAGGGCTCCAAAAGGGTTCAAAAGGGGCCCCAGACCCCCCCCAGAGGCTCCCAAGCTGGCCCAAGAGGCGCCCAAAGCGCCCCAGTTGTCTGGAGGGTGGCTGAAGAGCGCACTGAGATGGCTTCCGGACGGGCCATGAGCGCTCGAAGCAAGCCCAAGATTGCTTCTAGACGGCCACAAAGGCACTCAAGACGGTCTAAGAGGCCGCAAAGAAGCCTTCCAAGGGCAAAAATCAAGCATGTCTTGTGGAAAAGCGTCTATTCCCTGGATGTTTGCCTTTCAGTCGTACAAGCGGCCGCGACGGCCCCAGAGGCTCCCAAAATGAGCCCCAGACGGCCCAAGAGGCCTCCAAGAGGGCCAGACGGCCTGAAGAAAGCTTCAAGCAGCACAAGAGAGCTCCAACACGGCCCAAGAGAGTACCCAGGAACCCCGAGGGGGCCACCGGACGATCCCTACATGGTTGGAGAGGGCCCCCCGAGGACCCCAAGACAGGTTCAGGTTCCCATGACGGGCGAAGAGGGACCCAGAACGGCCGAACTGGGCTCCCAGAGAATCCCCCAAACCGCTTACCAGGATTTTCTGAAGACGGTCCAGGAGGCCGCTGAGAAGGCTCCTGAATGCAACAAAAAATTGCATTTCCCATGGAAAAATGTACATTTCTACGATATTCGCTACTTATGTTCCATTGGCGCCACGTCTGCCCAAAAGGCTCCCCAAATCGGCGCCACACGGTCCACGAGGCCCCCAAGAGGGCTCCAGGACAGCCTCAAGAGAGCGTCGAAAAGCACAAGAGAGCTCCAAAACAGCCCGAGAGATTCCCCATGGGGGCCCGAGGGAGCCACCGGAGGATCCCTACATGGTCGGAGAGGGCTCCATGAGGGCCCCAAGACGGCTCAGCTACCCATGACATGCCAAGATGGGCTTGGGACAGCCGAAATGGGCTCCCAGACGGGCCGCAAAAGGCCCACAATGACCCCCCCACGATTGTCCAAGAGGCCGCTGAGAAGGCATTCCAAATGCACAAATCAAGCATTTCCGATGGAAAAGCGTATTTTTGGGAGTTCGCTTTTCAGTTCTACCAGCGGTCGCGACGGCCCAGGAGGTGGCCCCAAAGAGGGTTCCAAGATGGGCTGAAGAGAGCTTCAAGCGGCACAGAAGAGCTACAAGACGGCCCAAGAGAGCCCCCAGGAAGCCCGAGGGGTCCACCAGAGGATTCCTACATGGTCGGAGAGGGCCCCAAGACGGGCGGAGCTCCCCACGGCGAGCCAAGATGGACCCGGAACGGCCGAAATGGGCTCTCAGACGGGCCAACAAAGGCCCCAGAGGACTCGAAAGGAAGGCCGGGAGAGGCTTCAGAGACTGCCACAATGCTTCCAAAAAGGCTCCTGTCACGCGTTTCAGTAGGCACCCGTGTATTGGGTGCGTTTAGAGAAGAGAGGAGGAGGAGGAAGAGGCGGAGGAGGAGGAGGAGGAGGAGGAGGAGGAGGAGGGAGGAGGAGGAGGAGGAGGAGGAGGAGGAGGAGGAGGAGGAGGAGGAGGAGAGGAGGAGGGAGGAGGAGGCGGAGGGGGGGAGGAGGAGGAGGAGGAGGAGGAGGAGGAGGAGGAGGAGGAGGAGGAGGAGAGGAGGAGAGGCGGAAGAGGAGGAGGAGGGAGGAGGAGGAAGGAGGAGAGGAGCAGGAGAGGAGAGGAGGAGGAGGGGAGGAGGAGGGAGGAGGAGGAGGAGGTGGGAGAGGAGGAGGAGAAAGAGGAGGAGGATGCGAAGGCGGAGGAGGAGGAGGAGGAGGAGGAGGAGGAGAGGAGGAGGAGGAGGAGGAGGAGGAGGAGGAGAGGAGGGGGGGGGAGGAAGATCAGGAGGACGAGGAGGGGGAAGCGGAGGGGGAAGAGGAGGACGGACATTGTTCTTGTAAGATTATCTTGTTTTCTGGTTCTCTGGCTCGGGGAGGGATGCCGAAGACGAGGAGGGCAGAGGAGCGCAGGATGAAGAGGGCTCGAGAGGAGGAAGAAGGTGAAGTAGGTGAAGGAACACAAGGAGGGACACATCGAAGAGCGGGGAAGACAGGGAGGAGGAGGAGAAGGAGGAGGAAGAAGAGGAGGAGGAGCTGGGGAAGGAACAGGGATCTCTTTCAGGGAGACGCCGACGAGGAAAAGGATTAGTATAGGATAATGGGAAGAGGGAAAACGGGAAGAGGAGGAGGAGGAGGGTAATGGGACTGCAGTGGACTGGGGATGATGATGGCGATGGCGCTGATGATAATGACGATGACTATGCCGACGACGACGCCGACGACGACCAACAAGATGTTGATGATGCGGATGATGATGCTGAGAAGTACGATGCCGATGGTGGCGATAGTGATCACGATGCTGATGCTGATGGTGATCATGATGATTGCCGTGATAATGATGGTGAAGGTGACCATGACCATGACGATGACGATGAAGATGACGGGGGTGAGGATGACAATGATGACGATGATCATGACCCTAGCTAGAACTTGAGCGCACGCGAAGCGCGCGCGATGGTTCTGGTATCTATATATATATATATATACATGCGTGTGTGTGCACACCTGTTCAGAGAGCGATCATGCTAATCATGTGTATGCACGGTGACCCCCCTCAGCGAATTTTGGCCCCCCGCGGGCCTCCTGGACGCACCCGCGGGCCTCCCAGAACTCCTGGGCGCACATGGAGCGCCTTGCGAGTGGAGATCTCCGGTGTGGCCTGACCACCATGCTCGGCCACTTGTCGTATCTCTGTGGGATCACGCCTTCGTTCAAGGTTTTAGGTTGCCATCTTCATTGGTCGCCGTCCTACTCGTGATTTTTCGTTCATGTGTGCCGACGACCGTCCGCGTCGCGTGTCTTGGTTCAGAATGGATATGTTTTTGGTGAACATGCGACACGATTCGGTTGACATGTACTTGTCGTGTGTACGATGCTGCTTGTCGCCCAAAGCTGAGCCTGCTGGCGGGCATCGGATATCTGGGTGGAGGAGGGGGAGGGGAAGGGGGAGGAGAAGGGCGAGGAGCAGGAGGAGGAGGAGGAGGAGGAGGAGGAGGAGGAGGAGGAGGAGAAGGAGGATTCTAGGGATTCTGCCATCGCGTAGCGATACATATACACATGACACCCCGTGATCTTGCCCAGCGACGCGACCAATAGGAAGAAGTAGCACACCATACGCCCATGCAGATGACAATGCCGAAAGTTTGAGGAACATTGCGGACACCACAAGTGAATCCCTCCAAATAGCAGGAACACACACTGCGCAGGCACATGAAGGCGGGCCCCCGAGGCCACGGGTTTACAAGGCTGAACTTTCCCGTCAACCGGCACGTCCACACCACACTGTATCCCAAACTGTCTGTTCGTTCCTTTCCGCCTGTCGTACATGGGCAACTGCAACAGAGCCAAGCACTATGCATGGCACCACTTGTCCACATAAGCGTGCATACAATTCGGACTACGAAACCTTGTCCGCCTTTCCCGTTCGTGATGATCCGAGCAGTGTAGCTGAGGGTGGTAAGCGCATGTTCCGCCTCCCCACCTCGCTCCGCAGCGGCACCACCCGCTGCGACTGACTGCCGTTCTCGCACGCGCTGGTAGGGCACTGTAGCCCAAGCCGTCCATCCAAACCGCTGCTGGCGCGGAGTGTGGATTTCTTGGATGGCTATCTTCATCAGTGGATGCTGGTGCATCTGAAAAGCATACTTGCCCGTGCTAACATATATGTGTGTGTATGTTACAAAGAGAACCCACCAATGGCAACCTTTCTGAAGCACAGAATGAGTCGACGGGACAAGATCGATCACCGCTTGGACCAAGAACAATCCATTGCGGAATCGCAATGCCCAAATGCCATGATGGCGTCTCCAATCTGTGCGCCTTTGCCCAAGCATCGATCTAGTTGGCCCAGCTTAGCCACCGGATCGGCTGCTGCGGAGGAGGAGGAGGAGAAGGAGGATTCTTCATGATGACAACGTCCCATCCAGACACTATGCGGAGCCACGCCGCGACCAAGAGTCACTTTGTTGGACGTCCTTGGGGATGTGGCATGGGGGCCGCTCCGTTGCCCCGGGGGAGTCCCTACCGCCGCAGGTGGCCGTGGTGGCCGGCGTGTTCTTCCTGTACAAGCAGTACCTCAAGAAGGAGATGCGCTTCACCATCAGGGAGGAGGCGTCCTCCTCCCCCTCCACTCCTCCTCCTCCTCCTCCTCCTCTTCTGGTCTGAAGCTTGCAACATCATGATTTTACTTCCACTTGTTGGGGATCTCCCGACCTCCACATTTACAATTACGCTCAGATGAGCGCCACCAAGTCACGACTCAGACAATTGGCCCCAATGGCTTTCGTATCGTATCGTGTCCTCCTCTTCCTCCTCTTTTGTCTCGCATAGCTTGCTTGATGTCTCGCACGCACATGCCTAAGCTTGCACCACTATCTGGAGGCTACGGCCTTGCTCACCTGGTCTCAAGTAGGCCAGCACACTTTTCCGCAATGGTGTTCGTTCGTTTGTTCGCTCCTCCTCCTCCTCCTTCTACTCGGCCTGTTCTGGCGTAGTGTAATTCCCTTCCCATCAGTCGGGAGGCGTCTTCATCATCGGGAGTTGACTGGATATTGGGGGAGAAGGTGCGTCTTGGTGGCTCACCCTCGTGGCAACCTTGTCAGAGACCTTCGCCATCGTTGCTCCCCTCAACTCCCTCCTCCCTCCTCCCAGTGTCTATCGCGAAGGCCTTACGGTGGTGCCGCCGACTCTGAAGGCGGGACCTCCTCTGAGACCCCCGCTGGCGACCTCCCCAGGACCCGCCGGGACCCTGGGGGGGAGGGCGGTACTCTGACCCGTGACCACCCCCCCCACCCCGCCGGGACCCGCCGGGGCCCCCGGGGTAGTATTCTGACCCGGGTCCCCCCCGGGGAACGGACTTAATTACGACGTTCCTTTTCCTTGTTCCTCGATTTCCTTCTCGGCGACGACGGCGACGACGACGGCGACTCAAACGGAAAAGCGTCTCACGCATGCCGAAGGCGATGCCGAATGCCGACATCGATTTCGACCGGCGTGATGTTCCGACGATCCGATGAGACCCGATATTCGCACGGCGTTGTCGTGCATCCCGGCGCAGCCGATCCGATTCGATTTTTCGACCCCGTGCCGACGCAGCCCGATCCCACGCACGTTCCGATCTGAGCCGACTTCCCGATTCGATGATGACTAGTTGTGCCTCCTCCCTTCCGAAGATGGCTTGGTATGCCCGAGAGGACCCCAATCATGAAGGCTCCAAGCGCCCCCTCGACCAACACGTCTGAGGTTTCGCTCAGCAAGGTTTTTTCGTGAATCGTCCTTCTCTCTGGGGTCAGCCAGGGGCGGCCAGACTGCTAGCCACCTCCAGTCCGCAGCCAACTGGACAAGTATTGTAGCGTGGTAGGGGGAGGTGTAAACCCATCCTCCAGGGATTGCAAGGGCCAGAGAGGAGCTTTGGTGACTACCCTACTTGGGCTACCGGCAGCCCAGGAGACCTGGTGGGATTCACATGTGCTTTGTCTACATGCGTGTCTTCAGAGACTGAGGGGGAGGTCTCGCGTTTGGAACCTGCTTCCGCGGCATCGCGACCCAGAGCGCCACAGTTTGCACTGACAGGCGGGAGGTTCTTGAACAGTTGTGTACAGGTAGGCGGGCGCCCGATCTGGCTTCGCGACCGCGCACTTCTCATGCCTGTGCTGGCTTGTCTTCTGGCCTCTCACAACACTGACGCTGCGGCGCCCGCCTGCGACGCCCTCGCTGGTGACAGCTGCCCGATGCCCCTGGCTCCTGTGCGGCATCTCGTGTGCAGCGCAGGTGGTCTCCCCTCTCTTCTCCCTCTCCTCCCCGCCTCTCGCCTCTCCTGCTGCCGCTGCCACTGCCGCTGCCGCTCACCCCACATCCCCCTCCTCCTCCTCCTCCTCCTCCTCCTCCTCCTCCTCCTCCTCCTCCTCCTCCTCCCCCTCCTTTGACTTCGCCTGGCGGAGGCGCAGCATTCGTCCTCCTCCTCCTCCTCCTTGTTCACCTCCTCCTCCTCCGTAGCCATTTTGGCTCAAGGTGGCTGAGCAGCGGGCGGCGCCTAGCCGTTTCCCCTTGCCCTCGGCAGGCCGCGCCGCGGAGCTATAGCCCCCAGCGCCTTGGCGCCACGGCCCGTGGGCGCTCCCCTGCGTGGCACCGCCGAGAGCGGCGGCGCAGGGCTGAGGGCAGAGTTCGTCTACGCCGTGAAGCTGATCTCCAGGTGTTGTACTGGCATCACGGCAGTTGCGTCCCGCAGATGGCGTGGAAAAACCATACCCCTTGGAGGCGCAGCCGTCGGAATGCTGGCGCCTGGGACTATCGGTCTGATGAGTCGTGGTACAAGAAGTCAAAGGACACATCCTACCAGGTCTGCTCGGTCTGTGCACACTGGGAGTTCACCAAATACGGACACCGAACATGCAGCAAGTGTCATGGAGCGTATCGTCAGGCTGGTGATGCTGTCAATGGTCAAGGCGGTCAATCCCATCCTGATAATGCTCCCCCTGTCCCTGGCGCTCCTGGGCCTATGCCATCTGAGTTGGTTGCTCAACTTCAGATGTAGACGGCTGCGTACCCCGCCCTTGCAGGGGTCGTGCAGGCTCAGGCCCCCCCCCACCGATTGTGCAGCCTCCGTCTGAGATGTAGTTCGATCGGATGGTATCTTCCAAGCAGACCGAGATGGCCAAGTCTTGTTGAGCTTCAGTCAGCAGCCGCAGCCAAGCGGCAAGCAGATCATGAGAAGTCCTCCTTTGACCCCGACCAGTACAAGGCCCACAAGAAGCAATCTATTCAGGGTAATATCGACGAAGGTGCTCGGAGGGCTGCGGCGGCCCCCCTTGCGGCTGCTCCACCTGTGGCTCCTGGTGGTGTTCCTCCTGCTCAGGAACCTCGTGGAGCCTTCCCGCCGAACATTCTCACGTGCATCCGCGATAACAAGGTGGACTACAACATCCTCGGGACTGTCCTGCATGGGTTCGACGACCAGCAGCTGCAGTCCCTCTCATTGTGTACTCCGGTTGATATCGAACAATGGAAGCAGTATCGAGCGATATGCCAGCGCCGTCAGCAGCCCCTGATTGGTGATGATGCCAGTGACATGGGAAGTGAGGCTGGCGACCTGGTCGCAGAGCGTGAGGAACTTGCAGCACTCAAGAAACGTGCTGCAGATCAAGGGCTTGATGCTGCAGGTGCCGACCGCTACCAGAAGTGACTCATGTCGACGCTGGAGCATCGTGCCACCAAGAAGGCTCGGCGTGCTGAGGCCCAGCCGCACGACATGTATCGGGCATTTTGCAACGCAGCTTCACAGAACATGGTGCCAGGGGCCGGGGCTGCCCCCCCCCCCCCCCCCCCGCAGTTCGGGTAGCACCAGCTCCGCCCCGCAAGGGGCCATGGCTTCTCCATCTTCGCGCGTCGCAGAGGATGAGGTGGGGCCCAGCGCCAGCGCAGGAGTGCATTTCAAGTTTGTCAATATTTCGTCTTGGTCGAGGTTGACTCAGGATTTCTTGGCTACCCAGGTTTCCAGTGTCGAGGGAGTCTTCTTCGCCGAGCACCACCTGAAGGGTGAATCTAAAGTTTTTACAGCCAAGAAACTTTGCCGGCAACTTCGCTGGTCTCCGCATTTCCAGAATGCCGTGCCGTCGCTAGGAGGTGGGTCTCACGGTGGTGTGTGCGCTATGGTCCAGCCTGGCTTGTGCATTCGTAAATTTTTGAAGCAGGCTAGTAAAGTTGTCCAAGTGGGTGCAGGCGAATGCTGGTTCTCCCTAGAGATGCGTCTAAGATCTTGTACTATTGCTGTGGGGGTGATGTACCTGGTCCCGTCGATTGGCGTCTCTGGGGCAAATGCTAACCATATGCGTTCCCTGACAGCGTTTGTTAATACTTTGGCGATTCCCTGGGTTTTGATGGGGGGCTTCAACATGTCCCCCGACCTCGTCCAGGAAAGTGGTTTCTTGGAGCTCGTTCGTGCTCGGACTATTGTTCCTGGGAATGTGACGTTCACTTGTGTAGTGGGTGAGACTATGATAGACTACGTGGTGTGTAGCGATTCGGTTTGGCTCCACGTGAAAGTGTATGCACATCCTACCTCGCCCCTCAAAGTACATGCCTGCTTGGATAGCTGTCTTGACCTGGAAAGCTTAGCTTTGCCTGTATGTGTTCGGAGCGTTGCGGTTAAGTTTCCTGAAGCATATGGCCCTAGCAAGTGTGCGCTGTCTTATCTGAGCGAAGCTGCTAGGTCCTTCTCGGCTTACGCCGCTGAGTTTCCTGATGATGTCTGGAATGCCCTCCCACATCATACTGCCGATCACCGTGATCCTGCTTCGAGTTTCAAGTATGCGCTGTGGTCTCGTGCTGTTGAATTGACGATGGTGTCTCGCGCTTGTGCTATCACTAAGCAGCCCCAGATGTACCTTGGTCGTGGAACCATGATTAAGAGACGTGATACTTCCCTGGCAGTTCGAGGTCCAATTGCGCAGAGCTTCCGCTGTCCGACCCTCGCGTTTTGGTCTATGGTGTGTGCCCGCATTCATGAATATTGGAAGCTCCTGAAGGCTCCTTACAGTACCCCTGCGAGGCAAATGCGTGATGTTCTTCGTGATTGTGCACCTCTTGTCCATGCCCACATTGGCCCCCTGAAGGACCTTGATGAGGCAGCGGCGTGGGCCGCCCTCCTGGGGGATCCTCCTTATAATCGTGACGATGCTCGTCTTATGGTCGATCGATGTGGTGATGTCTGTGCCCGTGCGTGGTCGCAAGTACATGAACGCACTCGTGAGAGTATACGTGAATGGCTCCGTGTTGCTTTACCTCGGGGTGCTAAGAAGGTGCATGCACCCCTAGAGGCCGAAGAGAATATTTGGGTCGATTTTTTTTGAAACTTCCTAAGGGGTCGCGAGCGAGCCTATAGGTATGATGAAGCATAGAGAGCATCTGTGGAGCAGTTGGTGGACGCCAGAACCGCAGGTTTGCAAGTGTCTAGATTCTGGGCTGGATGAACTACGAGCCCTTGCACAGATCTCTCTTCTCGAATCTGACCCCCTCGCGTTGAAGGACGTCGCCCGCGCCCGTGTCAGATTTGGCGATCATACTTCCGCCGGCGTTGCTCAGTGGTCTCCTCTTTTTTTTGATTGGGTTGCCTTTTCCCGCATTGGAGCAGCTCGCCGATGTCTTCGTGGACATTGAAGCGAAGCTTGCTTTCCCGTCTCAGTGCCTGTTCTGTGTGATGGCCATGCTTCCTAAGTCCATCAAGGATGAGAGAGCCACCGCGAAGTGTCCGACAATCTACCGCATCTATTGTAAGGCTAGGGGCTTTGATATTGGTTCTTGGAACCGAAAGCATCTAGAGTTCTGGGACACGGCCGTGAAAGGAAGCTCGGCCTTGAAGGCCAACCTGTACCGAGAAGTATGTAATGAAGTTGCTCTCTCCTCCGACATGGCTGCAGTGTGTGCCAGTTGGGATAGGGGGAAGTTTTTTCGACTCAGTATCCCCGCGCAGATTGGTTCACCCTGCCATCAAGCACGGTTGCCCCGCCTACCTCCTCTACCTTGGCCTCCTCATCCGCACGTCCCCGAGGGCCCTGGAGGTCTCCAGGATGATGTCCAAGGTCTTGGCTGCTGGGGAGTCCATCTTGGCGGGGTGTGGTCGCGGTGTGCCTTGGGTAAAATGCTATGCGACATCTTGGAAAGAGCCCGCAGCAGGACTCCCGAAGGTCCCAGCGCGAGCCCCATGGTACGTTGACGATATTCTACAGTTCCTGCACGGTACGCCAGCTTTCCTGACCAAGTATCCCCCCCAGGCGGTCGCCTCCTTCCAGCATGATTTTGAGGAGTTGGGGTGCAGAATGTCAACCAAGTCTACCGCCCTTGCGTCCAGCAAGGCAGTCCAGCAGATGATGCGCGCTGACTTTGCCAAGTTTAACCTCGTCCGGAGCTTTGGGGAATCTGTGGAGGATCTTGGTATTGTTATTATCCTCACTAAACGTCGTTCCACCTGGGAGATCAAGCTCAGGCGAGGCATTGCTTTTCGTAGAGGGATGAAACTTAGATATTTGGCGCAGCTGTGCGGACGCTCAAGGAAGATTTTCAAACCAGGGATCCTGTCTGTCGGAACGTGAGGCCATGGGGTCCTGGGAATCCCTCCTGGAGAAATGAAGAAGTTGCGCGGCGCTGCTGCAGCATGTTCAGGGTTCTGGAGCTCTGGAGCTTGTACGACCTCGGTTCTCCAGGTTCTGAGCGATTTCAACGACGACCCGATTTTTCGCCTTCGAGTAGAACTGCTCACCATGCTGACGGATGTCTGGGAATCTCTGCCACCAGGCATTCAGGCTGGAGCCCGTCGAGCTTGGGCTCGATATGCTGAAGTATTCGACTAGAAACCTGCGGCTAAAAGATGGAGACTCGTGAAGGGCCCTATTGCGGCCGTGTGCGTTGCCGTCCTGGACCTCGGTTGGATTCCAAGGGCCATTGATCTCTGGGAAGTTCCTGGGTCTCCTGATCTCCGGCTTGGGGTTCCTGACTTTCGGTGTCATCTGGTTCGTCGAGTTCGTGAGTCCTGTAGAGCCCAGGTTTGGTCAAAGGCGTCCGATCATTTTTGTGCTGCAGGAGTCGAACACGGCGTCGATTTCGCAGTTTTCAGTAAGTTTCATCGTGCGCTGTTGCAGGACGGCGATTAACAGAGAGCAGCCTGCTCGTCACTAACGATTAACGGCAATTGCAGTTGGGGCCTGTTGGCTAGAGGAGCGTTTGCTCCAATCAGGGTACCTGGCCTCAGGACGGTGCCCTAGGTGTGCAGATGAGAAAGAGTCGATGATGCATAGATGTTGGCAGTGCCCCAGTAATGAATACATGACTAATGCGGCTGTTCTTGTCGCCTCTCATCTGCGACCTCAAGCTGACGCTGCCGCCCCCGACAGTGCCCTGTGGACTCGAGGTCTTCCACCTACTGCCTCTACTGTTGGGTTGGTTCCTGCTCCCTACTCCCGTGTGTGGTCTCAGGGGCTCTTAGGGCCTCTTCAGAAGCTCGATGGAGGCCTTTGGGGACTTGGCGGTTCTGGAGGCCAACGTGCCAAAGACGAACAGTTGAGGCGTTGTGGTTTGGCTATTGTTCGCCTGGGTCCTCCTGGAGATGATGGACCTCGGCTTGGTGCTATATGTTGTGCCCCCCTCCCGACCCCTGAGCAATCGAGCCCTAGGGCCGAGCTCTTCGCCTTCCTCGTGGTCCTCAACCACGCGTACGGTGAGATTGTATGCTGCACTGACTATCTCCCGCTGTGTCGTGCTATGATAAAGCCACGTGCCTCTCTTGCTAAGGCCTCACCTATGTTGGACTTGTGGGTTCAAGTGTGGTATGCTTTAGATAATCGAGGGCCTGGTAGTGTTACGGTGTTATGGACCAAGTCTCATGCAACCCCAGATATGCAGTTGAAGTACGGGATTGACTCTGATGAGTATTTCCTGAGCAGGATGGGCTGCTGAGTCCAGTGCAGTTCCTGATGAGATTGTGCAAAGAGTCCACCAGCAAGATGATCTGACCCACTCCATTCTAGGAAGGCTTCTAGCAGTGAGTTTGGAGGTCGCTGAGTCATGCAAGCGTCTGACTTCAGCCCGTGTAGGTCGTGCCCCGTGTAAGCCCCGTGCCCTCTCGTCGTACGCTACCAGGAAGGCCCGCCTCTCTGCAGCAGGCCACTCCTGTGTGAAGCGTTCGGCGGACTTTGAGTGTCAGATTTGTGAGCGTCAGTTTCCTCTGAATGGCCTTCTAAGACGCTTCCTCCCTGGGCGTTGTTCGGGGGCCCGCGCCTTGGCTGTGGATGATCCCTCCTGCCATCTCTTGTATATGCAAGTTAATAGTTCGCACACCCTCGATGTGATTCGGGGTGTGCTCTATTGTGTCGTGTGTGGGAGTTTCGGCACGGTGAACATTCGGGGGCTTTGTAAAGCCTGCCCCCCGTCACGCCGCCCCACCAAAGCGGGAGCGGAGGTGCTGAGCCGCCTCTCGCGTGGACTCACGCCCAAGAACGGAGTCCCCTGGCCTGCACCCTGAGATTGGATTGCGCCCGGGCTTGACCTGGTCTCCGCTTGAGTCCAATCCAATCCAATCCAATCCTCCTCCTCCTCCATCTCCTCCTCCTCCTCCGCCTCCTCCTCCTCCTCCTCCTCCTCCTCCTCCTCCTCCTCCTCCTCCTCCTCCTCCTCCTCCTCCTCCCCCCGTCCTCCTCCTCCTCCTCCTCCTTGTTCTCCTCCTCCTTGTTCTCCTCCTCGTCCTCCTCCTCCTCCTCCTCCTCCTCCTCCTCCTCCTCCTCCTCCTCCTCCTCCTCCTCCTCCTCCTCCTCCTCCTCCTCCTCCTCCTCCCCCCCCGTTCCTCCTCGTCCTCCTCCTCCTCCTCCTCCTCCTCCTCCTCCTCCTCTTCCTCCTCCTCCTCCTCTTCCTCCTCTTCCTCCTCCTCCCCCTCCTCCCCCGCCCAGGTCATGCTGGAGGTCGAGTCGCAGATGGGCCAGTACGGCAGGCTGAAGGGGTCGGCCTGAGCGGGCTCTGAGGCCAACGCCGCGGGGCGGTCGGCTCGGACCGGGGCGCGCTCCGGGGCAGGCCCGGGAGCTGGTCTCGAGGGAGGCCATTGCCACATCACGTGCAGCGATCGGCAGGCCGCGCGCCCAGGGTCGCTCCCCAGACATGTGACGGCCTTTTTCTTCGTCCTTCTGCTCCTCCTGCTCCTCCTCCTCCTGCTCCTCCTCCTCCTGCCTGCTCCTGCTCCTCCTGCTCCTCCTCCTCCTCCTGCTTCTCCTCCTCCTGCTCCTCCTGCTCCTCCTCCTCCTCGTCATCAGCAGCAGTATCATCAGCACCAACACCATCATCGTCATCCTCAGTTTAATCCTCATCCTCGTCCTCATCGTCATCCCCCTCATCGTCAGTAGCATCATCATGCCCGCGTCGTGCAAGACTCAGGGCGGGAGGTCTCTGGCCGTTCTCGGCCTCTGGGGGCCCTTGCCGGGCCCCAGGACCGTCAAGCAATGATCCAGCATGGGCCACCGATCCCGGGGAAAGGGTCGGGCTTTCCGGGGCCCCCGTGCGTGCTGAAGAGATGAGGGCCTGGCACGTCTGGGGCTCGCCTCTCGCCCGTGGCCGCTCCGTGTGGCCGGCCTTGCGCCTCGCAGTTTTTCTGCCGCCGCACCGGCGGCACGCTTCGGCGGCGAGTCCGGGGGAGGTCGGGGGGGGGGGCAGGCCTTCGCGGAAGGAGACGGGGCCTCTCAGAAACCCTCTGGCCTCACGAGAGGCCGTCTGTGTCTGCGGAGGGGGCTCCGAGAGGTTCTCGGAAGGTGGGAGGCCCCACCGCGCCATGGAGGGAGGCCTGCCCCCGTGGCCTTCCCCCCTGGGCTGGCCGCGAGACCATTGAATTATCATTGGTTGGCCGGCGTCCCCCGCCAACCCCTTTGCCCGGGTGCTGCTAGGAGTGCCCCTGGTCCAAGGTGCCCCCGGGAGCTCCAAGGAGGCCCTTCCACGGCCTCCAGAGCGCCCCCAACACGAGGCCCAGAGGGCCCCAAGGGGCTCCGCAGTGGAACGAGAAGCCGGGGGCACCTCGGGCCGGGGGCACCTGGAGCAGCCCCCGCCTTTTCTAGCTGGTTCACGAACGGGCCCTCGTGTCGTGGGGGCGCCCTGCATGCCCTTGGCTCTCCCGCCGCATCCGCCGGCGGTGCGAGGAGCCCGCCCCCTTTGCTGCTGCTGCCGCCCCTCCTCGCCCCCTTCGCTCCCTGGCCGCCTCGCGCCGTGCAGAGATCTCGGCGGGGCGCACCGGCCGGCGGGGGAACAGGTACCCACACTGCTACCCTGAAGTCGGGCACGTCCTTCTACAGGAGGATTATTCAAACACAGGCGAAAAATAGCCTGGGGACGATTTTTCGACCATTCTTGACTATTTTCTGGCATTTTTTGATTATTTATTATTTTCCGTTCAAAATTCGCCTGTAGGAGGACATGCCCGACCTAACGCTACCCTTCCCTTGCTCTCCCCCTTCTTGGGCGAGGCCCTCGTCGCCACCGCGGGATGCGCTCGGAAATCCTGGTCAGAACGGTCCTCCGGAGAGGTCCTGGGAGTATCAGGAGGGAAAAAATCATACACAGACATAAGTCGTCGTCGACTCCCAGGAAGGCACATGAGAAACCGTAGGAAGTGGTGTGGGGGGGGGGGGGAAGACGAACACCCAGAAACTGTGTGGAGATAGGGGGCGTCCTGGGCTTTGTGTCTGTTGATCTGTGTGTCCCTGGGCCCCTTTTCCTCCTCCTCCTCCTGCTCCTCCTCCTCCTCCTCTCCTCCTCCCCCTCCCCCTCCTCCTCCCCCTCCTCCTCCTCCTCCTCCTCCTCCTCCTCCTCCTCCTCCTCCTCCTGCTCCTGGCTTTCGCAGCAGCGGGGGGCGGCCGACGGCCGCCTCCCTCGCGCCGCCCCCCTTGTGAGCACCGCCGGCGGAAGTCTTTGTTGGCCGCTGTCGGCTTCGGGGAGCCCTCGTCGGTCGCAGAGAGCGTCTCGGGATGGAGAGCCGGTTCTGGGGAAGGGGTCCCGATCTTTGGGGAGCGACGCGGTGGAAAAGTCACGACATCGGATGCATGAGTCACCTTTCTCGCCCTCCTCGGCCCCCTTCCCTCGAGGCGCAGGAGGTGGCCGTCTCGTCTCGTCCTCCCCGTCTCGTCCTCCTCCCCCTCGTTCTCCTCTTGCACCCTCCTCCCCTCGTCCTCCTCCTGCCTGCACTCGGCCACGGGGACGACGTCTCGGTGCCTCAGGTTCGCGTGCGCGAGTCGCCCTGCACGATGTCGGGAGGTCGGGATCATCTTCCTCCTGCACTGCAGGGATCGAGGTTCGAGGATGAGGAAAGTATCGGCACTGCATGGTCTTTCCGTGTCGGGCCCCGGAGGCGATATTCGTTTTGCCTTTCGCCAGCGTGTCGGGCAGACATTGTTCCGATATTTTTCGGGGCGTTTGAAGTTATTTCTGGGGTGTGGTCCTTACGTACGATGGGAACAACAGAACCCCAGACCTCTCGACCCCTTCCCCGGGGCCGACCTTTCATCCAGAGTCATCATGCCTGCCCGTGTGATCCTGCACTGCACTCTCATTTCGACCGTGGACCGACCGTGCCCCTGGAGCCTCTCCCCCAGATTGCTCCAACCGTGGGCTCCTTCCCCCCTCCCGCCCGCCCATCTGCCTTCCATCCCTCATTCCGACCCTGGACCACCCGTGACCTCACCCTCTCTCCGCGCACTTCTCCCGCCCCCGGGCGCATCATTTCGGCCGTGAGTCCACCGTGCTCCCGACCCCGCCCCCCCTCCTTTTTGCTCGACCCTGCCCCCTCTTCCTAACTCCGTTCCCTCCCCGGCCCCAGCATTCCGACAGTGCGACCAGCCGTGCCTCTGAAATTCTTCACGCTTCGCGTATCCCCACCAGCCCATCTCAAAACAGTAACTCTAGCGAAGCATGCCGCCAGTCGTGTTTTTCAGGCGTGTTTCCGCCTGCCCCCACATATCTCCCCTGTTCCTCCTTCCTCCCGCCTCCTTGTACATCCTCCTTGTGGTGGGAGCGGGAGAAGGACGAGGCGGAGGAGGAGGGAGAGAAAGCGCTCCTCGTGGTTTGAGTCGTTCGGGCTTCTCGTCCTGGTGTGAGTCGTTCGGGCCCTTCTTCCTTGTGTGAGTCGTTCGGGCTCTTCGTGGTGTGAGTCGTTCGGGCTCTTCGTCCTGGTGTGAGTCGTTCGGGCTTCTCGTGGTGTGAGTTGTTCGGGCCCCTCGTCCTGGTGTGAGTCGTTCGGGCCCCTCCTCCTGCCCGTCCAGAAACGACGCCCAGGCGAGTAGAGGGTCGTCCTGATGGGCTTTTCGGCGTCTTGGGTGCCTCGGGGGGGCCTCTTTGGGCCGTTTGGGATCCTCTTGGGGGCCTCCTGGGGGCCTCTTGGGGCCATCTTGGGGCCTCTTGGTGCCTCCTGGGCGCTTCTTGGGGCCATCTTGGAGGAAATCGATCCAAGAAAAGGGGAGCTTTAATTAGCGCTGCCCCCTCAGAAGGCCAAAATGGGGCCACAACCTTAGTAAAATCAATGATTTTGGCTTGAAAGAAGAGGGGAGCTTTGATTAGCGCTGCCCCCTCAGAAGGCCAAAATGGGGCCAACACCGTAGTAAAATCAATGATTTTGGCTTCAAAGAAGAGGGGAACACTTTTCTGCCTCCCCCCGTCGGGGCCAGAATCCTCGTGATGGGTGTCGTTTTTTAGCCCTCCCAGGAGTCGAAAAAGACCCCTCCAACCACCCGCGGGGCGCCCTCTCCAGGCCCAGGGGGAGGGGGTAGGGGGAGGGGTAAACCCCCCCCCGAAGGGGAAGAAGGGGGGTTGAGAACATATAGAGCTCTCTAAACCACTCACGCCCAAAGGGCTGGTGGGATTCCCCCCCCAGATCCCGCCCCTTCTGCCCCTCCCCCCCCCCCCTTCCTTCCCGTGAGCGACTGCAACTTCCCCCTTGGCAGCCCTCCAATACACCCCCAGTTCCCCGTCCCCTTTTCCCGAGCATGCTTTCGAGACGGTCTACGCGATCGTCCGTTAGGCCCAAGACACGTGGCATCGTGTCCAGCACAGGCATCTACTCCCATTTTGAAGTATCTGGTGCTGTCTTGAATGCCACCTTGGCTTTTCCAAAACCATCTTGGAGCCGTCTTGAGCCATCTTGGACCCACCAACGACCCGCGAAATTCTGGTGGCAACCCCCGCGGTGGGAGTACGGGGATGGCTAAACCCATCCCCGAAGAGGAAGAAAGAGGCTGGAATAATGGCTTCCTGATTCTAGACGCTTCGCGTATTCCCACAAGTTTTTGCCCCGCGCGCGTTAGGTAATTTAGTCGCGTCCGCGGCCCGTTCGCGACCTCCCGCCGCTGGCGCTTCCGCCTGCGGCTGTAAAAAAATATTCCCACAAGTCGGTGTGGCAGGCGCCTATGTGCGCTTGCCTTAATGCGGAGCATTTCGCTCAGTGCATGTGCACTCCACGCATCACGTGTAATTTGCCGTGTTCCGTTGCCCCGGGCATCGCTGTTGCCGCCAGACCGTTGTCGCGCGGCCGCCGACCCACAAAAATATTCCCACAAGCCTCGCCCTCCAGCGTAGTGCCGCCCCGGGGTCTCAGATGTCCTCCTCGCCCTGGCTGGAGGGACCCGTACTGCTAGCTACGCTACTGCAGCAGCGTTCCCCCCACACACGCTGACTTCCCTGTCTGACCTAGCTTTGCCCACACACACACACTTCGCGAGTGTTAGTCGCGCCCACCTCCCTTGCCCCCGCACTCACAGCTTACGTCCACTGCGACTATCAGTCGCTTCCCTCCGACTCCCTTGCCTCCGCACTCACTGCTTACGGCCGCTGCGACTGTCAGTCGCTTCCCTCCGACTCCCATACCCTGCGCTGCGACTGTCAGTCGCTGTCTCCCCCCCAAGCCGCGGCCACGCATTGCGGCCGCCCCGGCCCCGTGCTTAATACCACCCCACGAGCCCCCTTTGGGGGTGCCGGCCCTCTCCTGGCCCCCCAGCTCGCTCTCACTCGGGCCACTTGCGGCGCTGCGCCCTCGGCGCCGGGTTGCCCCCCCTGCGCCCGCCCCCGCGCCGCTGCGGGGCCCCTCAGCCCCCGCCCTTGTTTCTTGCTCGAGACCACCGGGCCGGCTGGGGCTTGGTTGCTGAAGCTGCGCGCGCCGCCTCCGCGTGCCACGCTGCTCCTCGTCGCAGCCGCCACGGACCATGCCACGCAACTGCCAGCACGACTCCGCTGCCGCTGGCTCCCCCCTGGGTGACGACGATGGTCGGGATCGTCGAAGTCGGTGCTCGGCGGCACTGCTCTGGCGCGCTAGGCCGCAGGGGACCCCCTCGGCCCGTCGCGCTCTGGCCAACGTCCTCGGTGAGTCCCTTCACTTTCTGTAGATAGGCTCTGCAGATGGGGCACCCCCGCCCCCGCACTGCGTCGGCCTCTCACGGTGTCCCCGCCGCCGCCTCAGCCTTGCGCGTGCGGTCGCTGGGACCCCCCCCCGACACGGCGATAGGCTGCAGGTTTCTTCTCTCCGCGGCCATCCTGGGCGCCCCTGGGGCTGGCCTGCTAGCCCCATCCACTTCAGGGTGCCCCTGGGCTCTTGGGCCTGCGACTCGCCTGAGTTCGCTGCCTCCGCCCGCTCGGGGTTCACGGACGCTTGGTCCTCCCCCACGTCGCCTTCCCCAGGGTCGGCTTGTACGCCTGGCTTTGGCGCCGCTGCTTCCAGCACAAGGCGTGGTCTTTTCCGCTGGCTCGTCGCCTTCGCTGCTCCGGTGTTGCCCTGGCGATACCTCTCCTGCTCCCCCGCCGTGGTGGCGCTTCCGCCGCTGGCACGCTCCCGCTCGTGGCGATCCGGAACCCTTTCGTCGAGCGCCTGCACGCCCGTTCGTCGTCCTCTTCGGCTGCGTCACGGTGGTCTTCGAGTTCGTCGGTTTCTTGCTCATCGCCATTTTGGCGCTGCACGTCGACCTGGAGCCCTTCCTGGTCCTCCGCGTTTTCTGAGCCGCAGCGTAGTTCGCTCCTGTGCGCTTGGTGCGTAATTTAGGCCGTTGCATTGTTGCTTCGTTCTGACGGCGCGCGGCTGTACCTTTTGCGCTCGCGACCAAACGAGTATGCCCACAAGCCTGGGGCATCGCATCGCCTGGGAATACGCCTCTGCCTGGGGCACCGTTGCATCCTGTCTCGACGCATTTGCAGCGATCAGCTGCCGCTCCCCTTCCTCCCTGTTCCCAGCACTTGCGGCGCTCAGCCGCCTGGTCCTACGCCTGCGCCTGGGGGGTCGGCTGGCAGGTACCTCTCC